ACATATTAAATTTCACAGCCAGATAATGAAATTATTTTACAAATAATTTCCGTTATTGGCTGCTTCGCATCCAATAAGTATATAATATTTGTTAACTTTACCTTGCCAAATGTTTATAACAATTTATATATTTCTCTTGTAGAAAATCTTTAACGTTCATTCCTTCGTATTTTGTTTCTGGTGCAAATACATCACCACCCCAAAATAAGATGAACATTGTACTACTAGCCAATTTTGTATAATTTGTAGGCCATACCATTGGTAACGGAGGTTCTCCAGGACTATGGTTTGTGTTATGAACATAAGCAGCGCCTGTAGACTTGAATTGCTCAATATCAAGACCTGCAATTTCAAATGTCCAACCTGGTGCACCAGAACCACCTGAAAAACGTGACCACTATATTCATAATGAGATGTTAGTTAACTAAACAATAATGAAATGCTTTAAAACTAGGTAAACAAGTACTGTTAATGTCTGGTGCTAGAAATTTATAATAGCCAATCATAATCTGTATTTTTCGGACATGATCGACATGATTATATACTTGAAATACTTGAAATGTAAATCCTCCGCTACGCTCAGGACAATAAAAATAAAAATATACTAACACAATCCTGATGTGGATCTATAAAACATTTAATACCGTAACGAGACATCTCGCTTATAACATTAATCAGATAATCGATAAATTCTTCGTCATAAATACCACTAAAATAATAACCCAATTTTTTTATGGGATCAAACGTATTGATAAATTACAAATAAAAAAATTTTACAAAATAGAACTTACGGTCCAGCATGCTCCAAAGCTTCCCAAGTTACAAGTAGTCTTACAAAGGTTAGACCCCAAGTTCTCAACCTAGAAAAATGTTCATGAACCTCTTCTAATGGAAAGGGACGCCCAACAAAAGATACATTACGGTGATCAAAGAAACCTTCGATCAAATGGCTTGAACCATCCGGTTTAGTAGGCAATTTAGAATTTCCACACAAATTAACACCACGTAACATACAAGTTCGCCCCTGTTCGTCCTTGAACCAACGGCCATCAGTGTGAATTGAACCACCGCCACAAGAATACCAGTTGTGAGCTAGGGCTCCGGACTCACCGAGTGCCAGTTTGTTTTCTTCGGTCAACATTGAGTTGTTACCATTCATTGTGGGAGTTTCAGGGGGAGTAGACGCGTATGAACTAAGAGAAGAAACGGAAGCCGAACGTTTTAATTCAGGAAGACCAAGATGGTGATGGGAAGGTCTAAAGTGTAAGTTTTCGAAACTTGATTTATTTGCAAGTGATATTTCGTCAGAAGAGTCAGAGTCAGATGAAACAGAAGCTACATCAGAATCTATAGAGATTTCGGGAGCAGTAGAAGCAGAAGGGTTAAGAGTAGATGTTTCCATGTTGATCTCTAACAGGCAGAAAGGAGTAATAAATGTAAAATAAAGGGTCTATCAGTAGAAAACGGAAAAAGAGTGTTTAGAGTGTGGAGAGAAATAAATATTTCGGACACAAAAGAATGTATATAGTCGAATAAAAAGAGTGGCGAAGGTTGAATATAGACTTGGCAGAGTGAAAGACTAAATTTAGGCTACACGAGACCATGTGTCGATCTTTAAATCTGTATTGAAGCTTGTATTGAAGCTTATCCTGATTGGATAATATAAAATTCCAAATATAAACAATCGGATCTAAAATTATCATTATAAACGAGAGCATTTACCAAAGAAATTCAATGGATATTTCCACTTTTTGAAATACAAGCCACATACTGTGTAATAAATTCGATTCATTATTATAACGTATAACTGTCACTGTTATAATTGAAATTTTCCGCAATGAGCCACAAATTTAAGATTCATTTTTTATACTGGCAAGCTCAACATGGTAAACAAAGAGATTTTATGTATTACACTGTTCGCAGCACTTAAAAATCTTATATAAATTGAATTGTAGCCGATACTATTCATGGCTTCAAACTTTAGCGGCTTCATCGGGAGATACGATCATTCTCAATTTTAGGCATCTCTGACCAGAAAAGCGTAAAAGCACAGGAGGAAGAAAAAGGTTACACGAATGTTGAAACAATGTCTATCAGCGAATCCAAACGTGAATTTTAACAAAAAAACCGATACAAAATCGAATTAAAGTTTATATTTAACGTTAAAGTTCAAGTAAATGTTGTCATAGGACAGGCAAATGGCCTAGTCATTTGACCAAAATTTAAATGGCCAAATCGAAATGGCCTGGTCATTATTTGTTGATGACTATTTAGGTCATCTATGTATACAATAATTTTATTGTTTAACATTATTATTTTAACTAATTTATTCTAACTAAACATTCGTGCAGTTATTCGAAATAACAAATTAACATATGAATGCTGAAAAGTGAAAAACTATACCCTTCACTCACTTTTACATATACGAATTTAATCCTGTGATAGTACATGACGTATTGTTTCACCGGCAATCAGATCGCATTTTCAGGGTCTGATAGGCCCGTATCCTGTAAAGCGAATGACTTTTTATCTTCAAGCGAAATTAATCAAAGTCGTTGAAATCACATGAAACTTTCTTTTATTTAAAATAAGGCACAAATATCGATTAACTTAGAATTCCACCTTTTATGTATAGCTACGATCATCAATTGTATTTCTAATTAGTCAAAAGTACTAGGTTATTAGTTAACCTTCTAAGTCATTTTGGCTTTGAAGTGACTCAATGACTAGTCATTTGTTACTTGGGTAATTTACCATTACTGTGGTAACGGTAATAGTAATGGGTATCAGACTAATATGCCGCAGTGGCTTGATGATCCTGTTTCAGATAAAGTTAGTTAGATTATTACAAAGCAAATTATCATTTTCGATATTTGTACAAAATTACCTAATGCTAAACTTATAAATTTCACATCTTCTACTTAATGGGAGTAAAATTGTTCTAACGAACGGTGTTAACCATTTAATTCAGCAAGTATTAAAAATAATTATGACCCCATGACCAACAATTCTTTAAACGATCAAACGGCTCCAATCTTTACCATTTAATTACGAATTGAGGAATAAAGATCAAGCAAATCGTCATGTGAAAAGTTAAATCTATAATGGTGATTACATGGAACACTTGTCTTTTTTCAGCTCGAAGAACGAACCAGTTCGAAATGATACTGTAAAAGGATTAAATTACAATCTTCATAAGCCTAACGAATGATGCATCATATGACAAATAAAAAGATTGATCCATTTTCATAAACTAATTATTGGAATCCAAATCAATATAAACCTTACGTGATTTAGCTTATTAGGCATCACAACATATTGGTGATGGCATGATTTCATAATAGACGTTTCGATTCAAAGTTATTACTTTTATCAACAAAAAAACCTTGGATCAGAGAAAAAAATTTGCGTGATTTCGATCGAAATCAGAGAATCAAACAAACATAAGCCACCACGGCGTACCAATCTGATACACATTATCCGGGTGCAAACATGTAATTATTGTCACGGTTGAAACTGGAAATTAGGGTCCTCGATTTGAAAATATAAACCCTACCAAAATCCACTTATAGTAAAAAAAAATGCACCCAAAAAATTTCATATTAACGTTAAAGTATTTGACATTTTCAACTTCAGTCGCGACAATTATTAAACATCAGTCTACCTTCATCGCTTATAACAGTTAGTTGACAAGTTCGCTTCATTGACAACCAGTTCATCCCAGTCGGGTCAAACTTTTGAAATTTCTTAATAGGCGGGTGGGTTTTTAAAAAAATTTTTTTATAAAAAATTAACATATGAAATTTTAAAAAAAAGCAGGCCGGTCGAAGTCTCATGAGAACTAAGACATTAAGTATGGTCTTAATTAGTTTTTTTTTTTTTTGATCTAAATGTTCACCAGAGATGAAATTCATCGGGTCTTTATTAATCGGTATTTGATGTATTAAATAAAATGTTCATTGCCCTTAACCTCTAATCCTAAAGTTAATAGATCGTATAATAATAAAAAAAAAACATATATTTATAAAAAATCTTCAGATATTGCAAAGGTATGAAAAATTCAACATTTAATATTACATGTATTAAGATTATAGATATGTTGAAATAAAACCTATCTACTTAAGTTATATCTAAATTGATCATACAATTGGGTTGCTAATTGCTGTAATAATTAAGGGTGCTTTATGCTTTGCGGGATATGGAACTAATTAAAGACCCTATTCCTTAAATCGTCATGCAGATAAATTTCCCTATAATTAATTTATTCAACTATATTGAATTATAATCTATTGCTGCATATTTCAAGCTTCACAATGATAGTGGGACGGTTAAGAAATAACGTAAATGACGATTTTCTGTCTAAACAATACTCTTAAAAATCCAACGAGGGGTGCCTGTATCTGTTTGCTCGAGTTCGTCCCTGCACATATTGTTAATTTCTCGTACTAATCTATAAACCCTATCATCCATTATTGATCTGAGAAACGACATTGTCACGTTCTGATCTTTTAGCCAATTTAATGCTCCCGGTTTATTCCTTCTTCCAAAATTGTAATCCGTCATAACTACCACTAAATTTTTTTTTTATTATCTTAAGCAGTGACGCTGATACTTTATTAAGACTCCTGAAATTACAAATAATTACATACGTAGACATACTTGATTTCTAAGTTCAGCCTCACCCGGCCATCCTTTGGTACGTACGTACGTACGTACCTAAGTGCGACTTGCTGCACTACTCCTACATGATGTGGAATAAAACTGCTCGTCTAACTACTTAAAGACTAAAAAAATAATTAAAAATAACGATAATTAAAAATAGAATTTTATATTTTTGCGCATGTACGTACGTACGTACGTACGTACTGTACGTACAGTACGTACGTTGTACCACACCCCACAAGATCCGGTGTAACGTGAGATCAAAAAACAAACCGGGTTAGGGTAAAGAAACGTCCTTATACCAGAATTTTGCAAGGATTTTTTTTTTTATTAGAACGCGTAAAGATGCAAATTCTGAGCTACACGTTACACCTGATCTTACGATCTGATTGGTTGATAAGGAAATAATAACTAAAATAATTTATCAAGATTGGTCTATTTATACAAATAAAACTAAATAAAACAAATAATAAAAAAGAAAACCAAAAAAAAGAAAACAAAGATAGCATTATTAAACCTATACAAGATTGTAAAAATTATATAGTACTACTAAATAAATTAATCTAGACTTTAGGCTAGTTATTATATATATATCTAGGATATAAAAATATTAAAAACTATTTATTTTTGAATAGAGCTACAAGGTTAAAATTTCTGATTGTGATTTTAGCAAGTTTTCTGCAATGTTTCACAGCTATAGTACAAGCCTATACATGATTTTACTTTTTTTTTTAAATGTTAAGGTGACTACTTTGGGGTTTGGCACGTTTTATTAAACTTTGGATTGAAAGCCAGGGCAGCCACAGGGCTACTCCTGACTTTGTTATATTAACGAGGATACATACTAGCCATATGTACAACTTTTGGTTGTCTATTTAAGCAGTCTTGCATATATAACCCATATGAACTACACTAGATGTTATATCTGTAACCCACTATTACTTGAGTTACCCAATTAAATCTTCTGATCAACTTAGCGCTGTCGGAATATTCTCTTTAAAGAGAAAACTGCCGTTAAGGCCCCTTAGGACTACTTTATCCTCATGGTAAACCTATTAGAGCGGTCCATGTTCCATACATGTATCACCTAGATTTTTAGTAACTTACACCTAGGCCGCAGCCAAGTACTTGCGGCTTTTTACCTCTGCTACCATTACCTACTCTGTGCTCTTGCAAAGTTTATCCAAACCCCAGCACCCACTTTATGGACTATCAACAGTACTTCGATGCTAACCGTCAGTGCCCCAAATTTCTAATTCAGATGGCTTGGAAGGGACCAGTGGGCGTCCCCTGGTATTCTGAATGAATCCTTTTTTCTCCAGCTGATTCAGCAGTCTATGGTGTCTGGTTCCTCAGATAATAATCTTTTACATAGCACCGTCAAAGATCTGTGCTACTTCTCTACTCGGGACTTCCCAAGCGGGCTTCTATATCCCCCGATCTCTTAGATTTATTTGGCTGCTTCACTCAGATTTTGTGTAACTTATGCAACATACTACATTTCACAACCTCCCAATACAATTGGTGAGACCAAAGTCACAGGTGCTTACCCGATCGATATATCAGACAGTTTTACCATAACGCATTTTCGCAAATTCGAATTTTATCACTAGTGGAATTCGAACTACATGATTTTACACTATTTATCCCAAAATATATATATATATATTTTTTTTTTTTTTTTTTTTTGACTGTAATCACTGTTGTTAATTTTTGATAGAAGTATATTAGATTTCTCAC